TAAGACATTGAGCAGGTTTGCGTAGCGGTAACTTTCTGGATATTCATTCGGGAGAAGCCCAAGGCAACAGCATATAGAATTCCATGACTGGAGTTTTAAGTGTTCGGTCACCATCTCTTCCTCCCAAATCATTTATATTTATTATTCATCAACCATCCTATATTCCGACGCTACATAATCTAGACTCTGACAGCGTCGTAAAATACATTTAAAAATCTATATATTTGAAAACAAAGCTGTACTAGACTAGACTTTATTAGGAAAGATGTTACGAAAGAATTGGAAAAGCTGCCAGTACGAAACAGAATAGAGGAACACAAAATTGAAGAATCCATTTCGATAGAATGACTACTGAAAGAATACCGAAAAAGAAGATTCTACAGTTTAATCTGAGAGATGCTGAGGACGAGGGAGATTTGAAAAAAAAAAAATGGCAACCCTGGAACAGGTTTCATTACGAAGAGATGACAAAGATATATGAACTGTGGTATTAAGAAACTGATAAACTGGTATGAAATTGATACCAATATCACGATAATTCAATTCAATTCTTTATTATTCAAGTGCCGAGTCAACAGCCGCAAGGCCAATTACAGACAGAGCACAGGGTAGATATAAGTAATTACATTATGGACACACCCAACATAAAAGTCAAAGACAAAGTACAGGCAAGCACTGGAGGAAAACACAATAATGCAGACAAGTAAACAAACAAACAAATGATAATAATAGCAATAATAATAATTTCATTAATAAAATCTAAGTGTTATTGAGAACTGAGAAATGAAATATAAATATTAAATTGAGAAATGAAAAGTATAGATTTTCAGAGAGGATAATAATAATACTTAAGTTTAGTTTTTTTTTTTTTGCTCATGCAAATAATAATAATACTAACAGTTATACTATATTTTAAAATCGTTTGGGGAGAACTTTCCTGGCTCCGAATACGTCAACATCCCTGCATATGACATTAGCAGCTGCTGCATATCTAGCAGAAGGACAATTTTTAGATGAGGAGCAAACATTGAAAAATGCAAAGTCTTTGATATACCGAGCAGGAACTCGGAGACCAACAATTTCCAGAACAGAAGGGCAGAATTTCGAGCCAAAATAAACGTGAATAAGAAAGAGAGCATCAAGGCGATGTCTCCTAGTACGTAAAGTATGCAATTTTAACTCCTCGAGAGCAAGAGAATAATTGTAATGAACTTGAGGATAGAAACGATTAAAACAAAGGGCTGCAAACCTCTGCTGGATGCGTTCCAGCTTGTTGGCATCAGTTGACGTAATCGAATTCCAGACTACGGACGCATATTCTTAAATCTAACTAATGCATTGTACAATCTGAGCATACTGTCTAGAGATTTATTTATTTATTAAGCAATCAGAATCTACAATTCTATAAGCTAGTACAGTCTAGAGATGAGAAATTGAAAGTAATGTTACGAACTAAACACAACAGTTTAAGACAGTGAGAGAAAATGTAATTGACCTGGACATGGAAATATAGCTTAGCATCAATAAACACTCCCAGGTCTTTTATAGAATCGGTCTGGGCTACTGACGTTTGACAAAGTTTATAACCGTAGAGAAGTACATTGGTTTTCCTGGAGAGGGATATAACTTTAGTTTTACTGATGCTGAGTTTCATACAGTTAGCAATGCACCAACCTTGTATAGAGTTAATGTCAGACTGAAGTAGATAGCAGTCCTGAGCAGAACTAATGGCTCGGTAAATTTTGATGTCATCAGCAAAAAGCAGACACTTAGAATGGGCAACTGCATCGCATATGTCATTAATAAACACATTGAAGAGAAGGGGTCCCAAGACAGATCCCTGAGGAACGCCGGAGAGAACTTCAAAAGGTGAGGAAAGAACACTAGAAACACGTACCTGAGATTTCCGGTTGGATAGGTAACTGCGAAACCAGCTTACATAATCACCAGAAAGCTCAATAGCACTAAGCTTATGAAGAAGAAGAGAATGTGGGACAAGGGCGAATGCATTGCTGAGATCAAAATAAATGGCATCAGCTTGTCTCTGATAGCCAACTATAGGGGAGATAAAATCAACGTAAGTCACAAAAATTGGTGCTTGTGGATTTAGTTTTCGAGAAGCCGTGCTGATAAGGACTAATTTTTGATTTTAGATAATGGGAAACATGTTCATGAACAATAAATTAGAATATTTTAGAAAAATTATTCAGTAAGGATATAGGCCTATAATTGCTAACAGAGGTACTTTTGCCTTTTTTGAGAACAAGAACAATTGCTTCTTGTTTCCATAGTGAGGGAAAGTAATGATGAGATAAGCTTAGATTAAAGATATGTTTCAGAATAGGTACAAATATATCAGTACAACCCTTAATAATGAATCCAGGGATGTGGTCGACTCCAACAGACTTAGATGGTCTCAGGCGCTTAATGGCTTTGATAACATCAGAATAGGAAACAGACGCTAAAGGTAAGAATTCGGAAGATGACAATATGCTGGGGAGGACATGAGGACCAGGATTGAGGTACACTGTTTGAAAATACTTTCAAAATTCATCAGCAACGTCATTAGGTTCGATTAAATGCTTACCATCAACCTCAAGCTGAATGGAATTAGAATTTCTTTTCTTAAAGGAGGCCACATATTTCCAGAATTGCTTGGGTTGCGACTTTAAATTTTCGTCCACAGATTTCAACCATCTAAATCTGTCAGACTTAATAGTAGTCTTAACCAGCTTACGATAAAAGGAAAATTTTGGTAAAGGCATTCGGATTTCTTTTTCTTTTTATTAGCGTCTGTAAAAAGGAACTAGAATACCAGTGTGGGAATTTCATATGAGTGTTTATGATGCCATGGGAAATTGCGTGTTCCATGGCATCTTGAACAGCAGCACTGAGGCCAGTGACAGCAGAATCCACAGAGGGGGTACCATACACACGGGACCAGCCGTAAGTTGAGAGATTATTATAAAGTAGTGCATAATCCCCAGACGAAAATTTACGGTACGAATATCTATAAGTGGCAAGGGGCAGACAAATATTGATAAACAGTGGGGGTGGTAATTGTCAGGCTGTATAAGTCCAGAGTCAACAGGAGTCGACATAATTATTTGAATACATTCAATGTATATGTATTAATTACTACATGTTTCGGCTTCATTGGCCATCCTCAGGTATATACAGTTCTTACTTTAACTCTTTTATTTCGTCTGATAGTCTTCCCTACACTGGCCAGTGTTTGTTCAGATTTTTAGGTTATGTTAATGTAATGTCTCTTTTATATGAAATGGTCTATAAAATACACATTAACGGCCGTGGGGATCCGTTGCGCTGACAATGCGACACCCTCTGTCCGCTAAAGTTGGCACTGACTTCACCTACAAGAGGTGGTCGCTCGGTCAGTATAGTTCGCTTGCGGACTACAAGCCACGGAGTTTCTTTGTATTAATATTATGTTTAAAAATGGAATATTAAAACGTGTTATGGTGTCAAGTCTCTTCTGTCTCGTGACTTACTTCAACCAAAAAGAATTAAGAAATTAAAAAATGACATGTTAGTGGTTTATTTTAAAATATTGAATATTAATTGGCATAATAATAATTTTCAATTGCTCTTCCAGCCTATTCAGGGCCCTGGCTTCTTATTCAGTTTCATTATCATTTTTCACAGACGGTAGGCCTCATTGAGCGAGTTATCAGCCCGTCGCAAGGCCTCTACCTAAACACAGGGAAACACAAACATAGAATAAACGCATACAACCATCAAACATCCGTGCCTTGAGTGGGATTCGAACCCACGATCCAGAGTCCGAGCGAGCAAAGACATTTCATGCCTTAGACAGCGAGGTTTTTTTTTTTTAATTCTCTTAGTGGGGGGTGGAGTCCAGCTGCGTCCACTCGGCACGGCGGCCACTCATTGGCCTCTTGTACCTGCCCCGGGTGATTATGATGATGGAGAATTTGGTGGAATGAAGATTGGCAGGGGAAACCGAAGTACGTGGAGAAAATCCGCCCCAGCGCCACTTTGTCCATGACAAATCCCACTTGACCAGACGGGGGATCGAAACCGGACCGCCGCTGTGGAAAGCCAGCGACTAACCGTTTGAGCTCTGGCGCGGACTAGACCACGAGGTTACTGTGACCGGCACTTGGCATAATAATGAATAATAATAATGAAATTTAAAACCATTATATTAATAAAACTAAAAACTGAACTCCATGGTCTTAGTCCGCAAGCGAATCATACCGACCGAGCAACCGCCGCTTGTCGGCGAAGTTAGTGCCAACTTTTTACTGACAGAGGGTGTCGCGTGGTCAGCTCAATGGATCCACACGGCCATTAATCTCGGCTTTTAGACCGGAGCCGCTACTTTTCAATTTAAGTAGCTCCTCAATTATGCTCACAAGGCTGAGTGAACCCCGTTCCACTACTTCTCAGAAAATCTGGTAGCGCCGGGAATCGAACCCGGAACCTCTGGATCTGTAGCCAGGAACTCTGACCACTAGACCACCGAGGCGGTCGCGTTTTACATTAATAGTTTTAATCAATTAAAATATGTATGAATTTGAAATATCATCCACTGTAGAATATATCATCTAGAAGCAAAAATATTTCTAACCTTTCGGCACACGCCACAACTCCTACTGTCATGCTATCTGTATTTTGTAAATGGAGGCTCTAGTCATATCCAAATTCGATAAATTTAAACAAGAGAATTTGGCAATAATAATGAAATGATAAGAAGCTATCATGATTTTAGAATAACGAATCCAAGGTAAGGCGTTGGGCGTGAAAATATTTGATCAAGTGCGTGTCAAGATGATATGGGATAACCACTAAAGCTGTCACTCACATATGACATATGCCATAATTTGATGCTTGATTGACGTTACACAGAATATACTTGCAGATTCCTGTTATAAGCTTTTGTTAATTATCCATTAAGTCGGCCAAAGTACAACTCACGGAAGTACTATATAATATACGGCAGTCGTGACATCGATCAAGGCAGTCAATCTCCCTTGTTACATACGAAAGCAGAGGAACTGGAAAGACTTTAAGCAACTACATTATGACAGGTAAGATGCAAGAAATATGAAATAATGTTACAAGTATTGAACTTCTCGAAAATATAATTATAATGATCAAGTCAAGCAAGATGAAGTGACAGGAGACTTGAGTAAACTGCATAATGAGGAGCTTCATAACTTGTACTCTTCTCCAAGTATAATTAGAATGATCAAGTCAAGGAGAATGAGGTGGGCAGGGCATATAGCACGAATGGGGGGGACAAGGACTGCATATAGGTTATTGGTGGGAAAGCAAGAATTAAACAGACCACAGGGAAGACCAAGGCGTAGGTGGGTGGACAATATTAGAATGGATCTTAGAGAGATAGGATGGGATGGTATGGATTGGATAGATCTGGCTCAGGATAGGGACCAGTGGAGGGCTCTTGTGAACAAGGTAATGAACCTTCGGGTTCCATAAAATGCTGTGAAATTCTTGAGTAGCTGCAAAATTGGCGGCTCCTCAAGAAGGGCTCAGCTCCATGGGTAAGTAAGTAAGTAAGTAAGATGAGATGGGCAGGACATGTATCACGCATGGCAGAGAACTGGAATGCATACAGTTTCGGTAGGCAAACCTGGATGAAACAACCACTGGGAAGATCTAGAAGTAGAAGGGGGTATAATGTTAAAATATTGTAGCGTGCTTGGTTGTCACGCTACAAATAAGTTCACGTAGGCCTCAAATTCCGTAGAACATTTATTGTCCTTCACGCTTACACAATCATTTACACCCGCAGTGTTGCGATCACTGCTTACTATAACTCGGCGACACTGGACTGGCTTCGCTGGCGGTGTATAGCAGACTCCTTTCTGCAGCGGATATTCCACGGCTTTCTTCTTTGGAGGCTATTCCGAGACTTTCTTCTTTGGAGGCTCGAGGAAGACTCAAGACTTCTCGTCGAAGCTGGGCTTTTATAACCTCGCCGCTGCTAGGCAAATGAATCCTCTGTTATAGCCGTGGAAACGTCGCTTTGTTGGCTCCGCGTTTCCTACGCAATAACCCGTTGTTATCGCGTTGTCTCTGTGGGAACCTTCGCGTATTCGTCGTAACCGTGGAGATTCGATGTTCTCGATACAACGGCTCACTGTTGGAAGTACAGTATCGCTATTGTTACTTCTTATGCAACGGTCTGTTCTGGCGTTTCCATAGAAGTGACTCTTCCGGATTCCAGACACGTTACAATATATTTTAGAGAATTAGTATGGAGGTGTGAACTGGACTAATCTGACTCAGGATAGGGACGAGTTAAGGGCTCTTGTGAACAAGGGGTTCCACGACATATTGGGAATTTCTCGAATGGCAGAGGAATTGCTGGTTCCACAGGCAGGATTCAGTTCCGTAGAGTTTGGTAGCGTAACCGCTCACTTCCTCTGTGCCCTTTTCGTTGTGCGCCACTCCACCACCGCTCACTTCTTTGGGTCCTTTACTTTAATCAGTAGAGCTGGGTTCCTATCCCAGGGTCTTATAAGGGTCTGGCTCGGACAGGGCAGGAAGAACACTTCACTACAATCACCCACCTTTTGACGGTTGCACTTAGTAGTCCTTTAATACCTTCCAACTTTCTGAATACAACTGAATTTCTTACTACTGTTGCTTTGTACTGTACTTATACTATTCTACGGAAGGGCCGTAGTGGTAAATTTAGTGTCCGACTTTGCCGAAAGTAGTGTCAAGACTCTCCGAGGTGGAATGCCCTCTCTCTGAATTCTGAGGTCCACGAACCCCAGACTCCAAGAGAAATCCACTCCTCCACTTCTGCCATTGGTTAATTCTTCAAACTAGGAGGTTCCCTAAATTTTGAATTCCCAATCATGTTGCTCTGCTATGTGATTCTGGCAGATGCTGACCTGACGCTAAGGATGACAGCCCCTTGATGCATTACAGTCAGGGTGTGAGGCTCCGGCCGTCCCACTTCTAAGTTATCGCTGTCCCAAGCTGTCAGCTCTCATTTTCTCAAAGCCTTTCCGACGTTGCTGAAACTGCCAGAATTCCAGGAAAGTACCAGATGTTACTTCCTGTTCACATAGCAAAACTTGAACTATGTCCCTTCCGCGTGTAAGAGCTGGCTATCAGCCGGATCTCTTTGTTTGTAATATAGTTAATCTTAACTTAATACAAATTTAATTTTCACACAACACTCCTCCAGTCAGAATGAACGGTTACAGTAGGTCTGTTGGCTGCAGTTGAGATGGGGAGGTACACAGCCGAGACCACATACTTTTTTTTCAAGGCACTGGCGTGAAATCAATTTTTTTATAACTTGTAACACTTCCGTTCTCCGAGATAGAAGCGTCAGATTTTTTAAGTAGCTCTGTGAATTTCGTCACTTGTCTTCAATTCTGCTTTCAAAAGTTAGCGTTATGTGTCGAGAACGATTTCTTATAATGTTTTTTACTCAAAAGTTTCAACGTCGAACTGCACGCCGAATTGTCCTAGCACTTTAAGTTTTACGACTGTGTCGTCGGCTGTAATTTAGAAAAAGTAACGTTGATAAACCGGCTCTTTGACTGTTTATACACGTTATTTTTCAAAGATTATTTCACATAAGGAAAATATTTACATTACACTGTCCTTTTTTCTAAGTGTTTCTGTAACATTTTTAGAACATGATTTTATATACAGCGGACACTTCTCGAAGTACGAACCATAACCAAAACTGAATATCTTCTAATTAATATATAACAATTCAGTTCTTACCTTACAGGAAACACATTACATCTCCGATACGGAGATAAACCGGTTAATATTCTTTAAGGATATAATAGCTGTTTGCTGTGAGAACTATAGGAAACGCACAAAATTCAAAGTTCTAGTGTGTACAAGCAGGTGGGGTACATGCAGTAAACACCGGGCTTTAAAATTTTAAATTTCATTAGAATATTGTTTTTGTTTCACGGTGTGGGGTGAGACTGAGTCCACTTTGTGAGTCCGTTAGCCTAATGTACCAGCCCCGGTCGACGGATGAGTGTGGAGCATTTCGCGGAACGAGAATTGGCATGAGAAGCCGAAGTCCACCAAAAGTAACATGACTTGACCAGGGACTGAACCCTGATAACTGCCGTGGCAATCTGGCGATTAACACCCTGAGCCATGGCACTGCCTCATTAGAATATTACGTCTTTCTGTAAGACGTTCCATCTTCACTGTCGGGTAAAACTCTCTAAAGCGACGTCAATCTATGGCTCTCAAAAAAAAAAAACCGTGGTTTTAGTCCGCAAGCGAACTATACCGACCGAGAGACCGCCGCTTGTAGGCGACGTTAGTACCAACTTTATCGGATAGAGGGTGTCGCGTGGTCAGCGCAGCGAATCCCCACGGCCGTTAATTTAGGTTTCCTAAACCGAAGCCGATATTTCCTAGAAACAGCTCCTCAATCACAGCTTTCAATATGAAAACTATTATATTCTGGGATGTCACGCCGTGTAGCCCGATAGAATCTCAGAGATATTTTGATAAAAATTACCAACTCCATTTTCAGGATCAAAGAGCGAGTAGAGTAAAAAATTGCGAGATGAAATCAGAGCTCCCTGCTTGATGTTTCTACCTCGGTTTATTTTTCGACCCTGAATGGAGGTAGTATGGCTCTCCATGCTGATGCAAATTCAGGGAAGATATTTTAAATCATGGGACATAAAGACTTAAGCACTTAAATATATTCTTGCTGACCTAGAAATTGTTGACTTTACGGATCTGAATTATCAACAGCTTTATGGAAGTATTTCAGATGCGAGGTATATCAACCACACAGGTGAAGATTTTGATACGAAAGAGTTATTATTTATACGTACGTATAATGTTATTATATTTACACCTTCGCTTTTGTACGCACAATAAATACGTTTAAATTAATCGAAAATACGAGTAAGTTGCTTCAAACAGACCATTTCTTTCTATGAAACACAACATTTACTCGTGGCGACAAAATTTCCTACATCTCGCTTTGCTTAAACTGGAGGATCGAACATTTGGTATAGCACACGTAAGGGCACGTCCCTTTTCCGAACTAGCAGAACATTTTAATTTCATGTTACTCATAATCAGTATGCCGTTCTAAGACCTACATTCGTATTCGTCACGTAATTATCATAATCAAATTAATGTAAAACATCCGTTAGTATAATCATATATTCAGCTTGCAGTCAGTAACTCCTTGTTTGCAGTTTATTTAACGAAGCGTTGTGAGGGTCGGCGTTAGTTAGGTTAAATTAATGAGTAAATAATTAAAAAATAAATTTTATTATAAACTCTGATAAAATAATCATTCAGTATTTGCATATCTTCCTTGTGCAGCTGCCCTGATTTTCAATGAATCCGTTTCAAACGTACATATATTTTCTCATTCTATCATAATAAATATTTTCTTTTGTTCCCTAAGTCATTTTTCGCTACTTCTTTTCCAACTAGTTTCAATTTCAGATTCATTTTAATAAATTATTATATTTCGGTCGTCAGGAATTGTGTGTTCGATCTACTCCTTAGCCACGTCACACGTAACTAAAAACTCCGTGACCTGTAGTCAACAAGCGAAGTATACCGACCGACCGAGCGACCACCGCTTGTCGGCGAAGTTAGTGCAAAATGTAGCAGATAGAGGGTGTCGCGTGGTCAGCGCAACGGATTCCCATGGCCTTTAATTTCGGTTTTCTAGACGGGAACCACTATTTCCTTTATTTCCTCAATTATACTCACGAGGCTGAGCGGATCCCGTCCCAGCCCCACAACTTCTCAGAAACATCTTGTAGCGCCGGGAATTGAACCCGGGACCTCTGGTTCTGTAGCCAGGAACTCTGACCACTAGACCACAGAGGCGGTTCATGTAACTAAAGCAAATTATAATTAAACCGTAAATTTAAGGAGATTTACCTGAACATGAAAGTCGATCCCTTGTTCTGGGAGAGGATGCAACTCCCAGGAAAGTATTTGGATCCATAGGAAATGGTGGAAACAGGAGAATATTAGACAACCAGCAACTTCAGAGCCTGTGCTGTCCACGTAATATGGGCAGGAAGTAAGGACATGTATCACGTGACGGGAAATAAGTAACACGTATAACGAATACGATAATTTTGTAAAGGTTCTTGCAGAAATAGGCCATGTGAGGGAGTGCGGCACAGATTTCCAGGTTGAAAGAAGAGAGTATAATCCACGATATGAGGCCATTCTTGTTACTTGATGACAGTTTGCGAGTTTAAACACAGAATTGAATGAAAACAAAACTGCTCATGAAACGCAATTGCATAAAGGGGCTGAAACTTCCACTTTAGAGGTCGCACATTGAAGAAGCAACAGCTTAGTTTCCTCTTAGTATCTTAATCATTGTTTTTGAGCTTCATAAAAGCAGAGAAAATGTTGACTTAATAACTGTACACTGTAGGAGATAAAAAGTAGAATGTTCTGAGGCGAATATGACAATAATACTGACTTAATTTCTTGCATTTCAGGATTCAAATGCAATATCCCAGTGCTGCTGGGAATTCTGTCGCTATGTTTCCTTTTGGGGGCATGCAGTCCAAGGCCACAGTTGAGATCCACACCCTGCGCCATGGAAGAGGCATTCTCTGCAGATCCCACTGACTGCAGCGCGTATTACCAGTGCTCAGCAGGCCAAGGGTTCAAACTTAAGTGTCCAACTGGACTTCATTGGAACAATGCACTTAAAGCATGCGATTGGCCAGACTTTGCTGGTTGTATGTTGGAACCTCATGATGAGAATGGCGATACGGAAAAAGGAAGCGCGGAACAAGAAGATGATGAAGAGGAAGACAGTGGAGACAGCAGCGTAAGCAGCAACGAGGAAGGCACCAGCGAGGAATCTGTCTCAGGCAGCGACAGCAGCAGCAGCAGCAGCAGCAGCGAAAATGTCATGTGCGAGGCTATTAAAAATCACCCCGAATGCCCTGAAAACGACATAGAAGGTTCAAAATATTTCCCTCACCAAGACCCTAGCCACTTCTACCACTGCAGTCATGGAGTAGCTCACTGTAAAGCGTGCCCCGCAGGCCTCGTCTGGAACCAGAAATGTCTTGTATGCGACTGGCCTGAAATATCTCTCTGCCACGGACATGAAAGCGGAGGCAATGATGATAGTGCACCGAAGCCACCAGAGGGCGAGGATGAAGACGATAAAGACAGTGAATCAGACGATGAAGACAAAGACGACGGAAAAGACAAAGAAGACGGAGAAGACAAAGAAGACGGAGAAGACAAAGAAGACAGTGAAGATAAAGAAGACGGAAAAGACAAAGAAGACAGTGAAGACAAAGAAGACGGAAAAGACAAAGAAGACAGTGAAGACAAAGAAGACAGTGAAGACAGCAAAGAGAGCGAAGATAGCAAAGACAGTGAAGACAGTGAAGACAAAGAAGACGGAAAAGACAAAGAAGACAGCAAACCAGAGGACGAAGATAACGACAGCAGTGGCTGCGCTGAAGGAAAGGACCGTGTTGAATGTCCTTCAGTAGACGACACGCGTCCTATCTTTTTCCCCGATCCGGAGGACCCTCACAGCTACTTCCAGTGCGACCACGGACGGCTGCATTGCAAGCGGTGTGCTGGTGATCTCGTCTGGAATCAGGAGCATGTTGTATGCGACTGGGATAATCGTAGTACGTAGTGAAGCATTACTCTCTCATACACAACCTACACCGCATACAAGGATAATTAGCAACGGTGGCTGCATTATGAGAGGTTGACGATAAATTGGCTATTCATTACTTATTTGAATATATTAAATTATTGAATTAATGATTATATAACATAAATATATCTACTTGCATAAATAACTTACACAATATTGAATTTTGACTCCGATTTTGATGTGTTTTTGTTTAACTGCCATTAAAAATACAGTAAACTGTACATTGTTTATAAGTTGTAATAATATTAAATAAAGATGCAATTACGAAATGGGTCGTTCTTGGTATTTACAAGTGTCACTTCATATGTGGTGGTATAGAACAGAACCTGTAAGGTTCCATAATTTTATTTGTAATGTACAGGGCTGTAAGCTGCATTACCGACTGTCCTACATGATGAATTATCAGGTTATTCTCACAATCTCCAGACTAATTCCGTGACAGTAGCTTGAAACAGGCCGCTGCGGCATCCATAGAAAACAAAACAATCCCCGGTTATAACGGACTAATAGGGGGTGGGGGCGCCCGTTATCACCGATGTCCGTCATAAACGAGTGAAGGTGTATTCACAACAGTCCGCCACAGGATACAAATACAATATACGCAGTAAACATAGAAACACAATGTGATTATGTAAATGTTTTTATATTGGGATAAAAGTAAGACGAAATGAAGCTATCCCTGTAACAAGCCGTGGAGGCCCACAGGGTTGTTAGACGACGAAACTCCCATATTTTCTAGATAATCGACTCAAAGGCGCGCCAGCCGCTCTTTACCCTCAGGATGATTCCTTGTACTCCTCGTACTACGACAGCTATGTGAATGTTTTTGAGTTCGAAACATTATTAGAAGTCGGGATAGCTCAGTTGGTATAGGGAAAGGCAACGGCTGGACGGTGGGATTCGATTCCTGGTATAGGCAAGCGTTTTTTCTCTACTTCACAGCGCTCAAACCGGCTCTAGAGCCTACTCAGCCTCCAGTTTAAAGGGTACCTGGGGCTCTTTCGCCGACGGTAAAGCTTCTCGCCCACTAGAGCAGTATGGTTAGCAGAACAGTGCAGTGCCGTTGTAGTATGTCTGCAGCGAGTGCGCCCACTGCAGGCGTGCAGCGTCAGAGACGGGACCGAAAGCATTCCCCCCACCAAAGTTGTTACCCACTACGTTTACCCCCCCAAGTTGAACCAAGTCCGCTTTCGTGCAGTCTTGCGCTCCATGTTGTACAGAATATTGCAATGACCGACTCGTCTTCGGAAGAAGAAACGATTTGTGTAGCTATGATGCTACAAGAGGATCAGCCAAAGCGAATATGGGTGCACGATATTAACAAGAAAAGAAACGAATTCGGAGAGTTCCACACGATATTTCACGACCTAACTGAAGACGATAATATCCGTACACTTAACTTATTATTAAAATCTTTAAATTCCCTTAACTACAGTTACTTTTACAAGAGAATTCAATATATGGGCAACGTCATGAGAATTGTAAACATGTAATTTGTCGTACCTCTGAAAAAGCCTGATTAAAGGGAAGACTAAATCTGATTGAAACATTCAATAAAGAATAAAATAAGAAATGATTCTATCTCTAGTAGATAAACTACAGATGGAAAATGTAATTTTACAAAACACCTTTCTTTTGTTTGAAGAGAAGCATGACATTAAAAGCACAAACATCAGATAAAATTGCCATTGAGGAATTAGAATATTATATAAATATAAAAGAGAAACTTTCACTTACAGATGGAATAGCAATTTTTAAACACTTCAATATGTTCCAAAAAATGCTACAAGATATTAAAAAATAATATTTAGAAGAAAGATAACTGTACTACGTTAAATAAATAATGGACTTGGATGCTAAAATAAAACTATCTGTAATTTTATAGAAAAATTAATCTGTAAATATTATCAAGATATATAGTTAAGTCAATAATAATGAAATTACATATTCACAATTAATCATGAAGTGCTTTTATCAAATATTATGACAATATTTCATCTGCCGCTGGAACCAATAATAATTCGGTCATAATAAATAAGGTATTCCCAAGACAATATTCAGATATTAGCCCTGTACCCATACCTACAACTGAAATTATCAATATTGTCAACTTTCTTACGAATATCAACTTGTGTGGATGTTACCAAGTACGTGTATCTACTAAAGTAACAAAGACCTGCTCAACTACTGTAAGCAAATCTTCTGGTTGTCTGCATAGTCACTTTTTGCTATAGAAATCACCAAATTGAAGTCTCCAAATGGAACCTCTGTTCAAGAAATGAGACACTTCTTAAAACTCAAATCAACAGCCCATTTTCTTTCTTTCCTGTGTTTTCCGAAACAGTGTAGAAAATTCTGCACAAAAAATAATCCAATATATGTATTTAAGAGCATATAAATTAATGAAAAATTTGATTTTAGAAAATATCTATTCATTCCTTCATCCATTCATTACCCATGAAATGCTGTAGGCTCATAAAACTAAACTTCATGTAGTGTGGACAATGTATGAATACTGCAAGGGCTTTTAACTGTGTTAATCATGAAATATTAATAAAGATACCTTCTCAATATGGAATGGTTTGAATCACGTGTTGTGACAAAACATTCACTTACAACAGTGTTTATTCCAGGTTTACTCAAAATGACTCAGTGCTTGGTCCACAAACTGACACAAACAGCTTTCAAAACCTATTATTTTCTGGACAAATGTAGAAAATAATCCCTGAACCACATGAAAATAATTTTGTGAAATTACCTAGTGATATCGATATCATAACAAACGGTTTGCAAGAAATAAGCTTGCTTGAATTCTGAAAAGATAAAACTCCTAAAATTGTTTAACAGAGAAGAGATGACCCATAAATAAATGTATGTAAATTATACCAGAAGTTCTGATTTCAGTAGTACAAATGATCTACCAACTCACTCATCCAAAGCATGCTCTACTGCCAATCAAGATCGCTTCATGATACAGGGCTGCAAACTAGTTGCTATAATCCTCTACACTTTTATCAATATACTGCATAAATTCTCTGATAGAAAACATTACCAAAGATGGATAAATTGTGAGGAATGCACAAGAAAAGATAATATAAACACCACTAACAAAATTATTTGTATCTCTTATAAACAATCAAAGGCCTTACCAATAATATAAAACAAATATTGTTTAAGCTTCAATCCATAAGAAGTAATTCACTGCCATTTGTATTTGTCAAATACTTTTTGTTTATTACAAAACATAATATAATAAATACTACAGTCATCCAAGTTTACATAACCTAAAATATCCTGTGAATTGATCTGTATTTGTTATATATGGAAATATGTTTAAATACAGATATTATGTCTTGCTAGTAAGACTCATGTAATTACATCAAAATCCTGTGCATGAAAAATTTATAAGTAATTGTTCACTATGCTGTAAGTGAACACCATAAATACTGTAAGAATTTGCAGTAGGATAATAGCAAATTTTGACAGCGAAATCAACGCAATGTGAAAAAGCTATATTTAGTATTTAATTAAAATTCATGCAATTTCCTTTGTGTTCTGTGTATGAAAGTATTTAAATAATTTAAAGAAAGTGTCCTTATATTCGATTTTGCAGCTGTGCTAGAGGAACAATATTCAACCCCCCCCTACCAGTCTGTCAGTAATACAAGTTCATTGTAAAAACCGTGATCCTAACCTTCTGTTTGCATTATTTCAGAAAACGGGAATGCCTAACATCAGAAGGGTGGGGTGTACCCCAATCAGTGTCTCCTGATGATTTTCGCATATTAGAATTTACCGTAAAATGTGCAAAGTTTTAATAAAAAAGTCCAAATACATACAAATCTTAATTCTGCGAGAAGTTACGTAAAAATAACTAAGTTTTAAGTTAGGTTCAGTCAGGAAAAGGAATGGACACATGATACTCTACATTTCCTCACAGGGCACAGATTGGAGATACAACACTTTTCAGTAAAGTGTTAAATTGTCTTGTACTCACGTATTCTGGAAACACGTTTGATCTTTGAAGAACTCTCCCTGCACAGGCTGCATCTTATATTATTCAGAAGATCTATTACCTCCTCTCTAACACGTTTAAACAGCCACTTCTATACGCTCTCTACGCCCTCTACGAATGTCTACCTTCCCAACCCCAACAAACCCTACAAACTACGTCCATGCATTCCATGCCATCTGGTGAGTAATTAATGGTTTAAATTTTAGCACGGACAATTTGTCTTTGCGTGAAATAAAATGAAAATAATATTTTTTTGCAAAGCTAGATAATCATATGCATAAATAACTAAATACTTTTGTCATCGAATATATGGCCCTTATGAAAAGTATAATTTTCACTGAGTCGATAGATATGAAATTTGAAATGTTTCGATGAATTCGTGCATGAACCTCAAATATAAAATTTAATTTAATCGGTTCTCGAATTATTAGATGACACAACATAAAACACGCGTGGTATTTATCATCAAAACCACGTGATTTCTAAAAAAAAAATTTTGGGTATATACCGGTTATTTCTTACATTTTTTCAGTACAAATTTTGTTCAAAACGTTCTTTATTGCAATGTGTATTTACCGAGCTACCCTCGAGATGCAAGCAGGTTTGCATGTAGTCTTTCATGTAAAATGTTTGTTACGAACCGATTTTAACTGAGATCGGAATGTGTCGATTGATTTTGATGAAGTCCCAGAAGTAGAGTTTCATGAAAACACGTTCAGCGATTTTAAAGTTGCTATATACTGACAGACAGGTATTACCAAGCTAATGGACACATTTTTGTAACTTTTCGTTGCGAACATGCCAAAAATCGTCCCCAGCGTCTAGCTTACGGATATTTTTTACTTTACCTGCACCAGTACTATCTTGTGTACCACAAATCCCACATGCACTCACCTGAGATTAAACCAGAGCCACAGAAACCTAAGGGCTACGCTGACCCTTTTAAAGAACATGTAAACTCACAGGATATATAGGCGACAATACACTCTCACTTTGAAATTCCTGTGAATCAGAGACTGTCATGTACTAACTAGTATGTGCTTATTACGTATGGAACAAGTGGCCGCGCCATAGCTCAAGCAGTTAGTCGCTGGCTTCCCACCGCGGCGGCCCGGGTTCGATCCCGGGGTCTGGTCAAGTGGGATTTGTGGTGGACAAAGTAGCACTGGGGCAGATTCTCAGAGTACTTCGGTTTCCCCTGCCAATCTTCATTCCACCAATTGCTCCACCATCACCTTCGC